TGAATGTTTGTTCACGCTTGCCTTTAAAATCGACACGTACTGCACGTCTACATACCTAACACGTACTACGCACACGCGCATGATGTCACCGTTTTCAAAGATTCCTGTATTGGGTGTTTACACGGAAACGATAACGGTGGCGTTTTCCAAAACTTGCACTTTGAAACCTGTTTTCAAAAATATGCGTTTTCAGTTCACAAAACGCCGTTGTCGTGTAAACGAACAGGCAAAACGCATAAAAAGTTTCCCGTTTTTGGCTGAACACGGAAGAAGCGTTTGCAAACTCTTGAGCAGCAACAACAGTAACGTTACCATGTACTCCGCTATTGTTGTGAATGTTTGTTCACGCTTGCCTTTAAAATCGACACGTACTGCACGTCTACATACCTAACACGTACTACGCACACGCGCATGATGTCACCGTTTTCAAAGATTCCTGTATTGGGTGTTTACACGGAAACGACAACGGTGGCGTCTTCAAATACTTGCACTTTGAAACCCGTTTTCAAAAATATGCCCCAAAACGCCGTTGTCGTGTAAACGAACAGGCAAAACGCATAAAAAGTTTCCCGTTTTTGGCTGATCACTGACTGATCTTAAAATATATCAGTGCCTTTGTTTTGTCTCAAGATGGACACCAGTAATATGTTTTCTAAGGCACGTTTATGAAAAATTACTTAAATGTCCTAATTGAACTATGGCCTTATCCTGGCTTAGTCTAAGCCCTGTCTGTGAAACCAGGCCTTAGATTTAAAGGAGGAATCAAAGCCATATGTTGAGACCAAAATATCATAAACATTTGAAGGTGGATACTTTTAACTTGGACCTATAAGCAACCACTTAGCAACCACCCAGACTCTGCAGCATTATGCCGATGAATTTGAACAGGCTAGCAAGACACATTTTTTTTCAGAAAAGTAAAAAAAAATGAGTTATTTTCCTGCAGAAATTTCCAATAGAAATTCCTTTTGGTGCTACTAGTGACATGGAAATTATACACTTCAACTTTAAGGCTTACATCTATGAAACTTTATAGGACATGTTACAGACTTCTCAGTCACTGCTTAGAGATGGAATTATACATGACAGTCCTGAAGGGAAATGCAGGATGTAGACTGCAGGTACTGAACTCAGATCAGTAGTAGTGTCACAAATACTTTACATGAGAGTGACAGAGATGCAGCTAGAGATAGATTGTGCTCTACTAATATACGAGGAGAGCGTCTCTAAGCATTTTCAAGACAGAAACGAAGCAAAAAAGCCATCTCATGTATAATTGCTTCTGGTGGACGTAAGTACAACTGGCTTAATTTATCTTACGGTACTACACATGCACAGTCACTTATAGCCACTGTAGGCTTTTGAGAGACCTGTATGTGCCCTCTGCTTAGAAATGGAGGCTGGAAGCCATCAAAATCCCTACCGAAGTCTTGATAGGCTCGTGCGTACCAGGGGGATAGCCAATCTGCCAGCCTTTTCCTCTCACATCAAGAGACTTGTGCCTTTAAAATTCTTTCAAAAACCTTCTCTGCAGCACAAGCTAGTTACCGCCCTCCCTTATTCTTTTCTCCCCCTTTCCTCCGTTCAGCTTCCCGTCTGTTGCATCCTCTGCGATGATTGACTCTCTTGAGGAAGGGGAAGGCTATGTCCGGGCTCACATTTCCAGCCCTTTGTCCAACACAAAAGCATCTTTGTAGAGAGATCTCAGCCCCGGGCACACCAGCGATTCGCAGGGAGCCTTAGAGAGGGAATATTTTCCACCGTTATTTCATGTTTAATTGAGGTTGTGTCTGATTTCAGCTGCACAGAATTGAGCGTGGATTTGCCTCTGTATCATTTTTTTTTTTTTTTCATTTAAAAAAGCGAAGTTTGACATGTCATAAAATTTGGTAATTGCATATTGTCATTTACAGGGGTCATATGACGTTGCTAAAAAAAAACATTATTTTGTGTATTTGGTGTAATGCAATGTCTTCATGAGGTTTAAGGTTAAAAAACACATTATTTTCCACATACTGTGCATTATTGTTGCTCCTTTATGCCCCGTCTTTCTGAAACGCGTAGATTTTTACAAAGCTCATCGTTCTGAAAAGCTAGGTGTACGCTGATTGGCCAGCTATCCAGTGCGTTGTGATTTGGCGAATATCTCAAGTGTACCTCAAGTGTGTGACAGAAATGTTACGCCCCTTACCATACTGTGATGCTGTGTCCCGGCGCGACGAGACAAAACCAATTAAACCCATTACAAACGAGGCATTTGTTGCATCCAGTGGGGACATAATTACGGATTATAATGACTTATACTGTCTTTTTACGCGGTACGTTGCATATTGCGCTGCATAAACATAAAACCATGTCTGCATTTGTGATCAGAGAAACGACAAAAAAGCACTACTCTACACTGCTCAAAACTCTCATTTGAATCATCAGTGGCAAATTCTTTAAATATGAAAACGTACTTACAGACTGTGAGTCAGAACATATGAAAACATACTTACAGGAGTCAGAAGTGCCAGACTGTCCTTGCAAAGTTGGAATTGCCCCACTTTATAGAAACCACCTTTGCACAGACTGCATTGTAGGCTACTCTCCCAGGTTCAGGAAACAGTCCTCTGTAAAATGTGCTGCACACACTAGAATATTTGGGTTGAACTGTTCTGGAACAGTGTTGTAAATACAA